GCAGGCTGTCCAGCGTCCCTAAAATTCCTAAAAAATCCTAATTTTTTTCAGTTTGGCTAAAATTCCTAAAAAAATGAAAAATTCAAAGGGAATTCCTAAAAATGCCCTACTTTTTCACTGAAATTCCTAATTTTTTTTATCTTTTGTTATAACATATCCCGAAACAACCATTTTTCAATCACAACCTAAATTTTAACACAGTCTATGGCGCTGATGTCATATCTGACTAAATTGCATATGTCACTTGTTGTATTTACTTCAACTCCTGCAGAAATGTCATACTTGATTTATTGCCAGATGTTATCAGAAAAATAATAAGAAACTTTTGTTTTAAATGGAACAATGAAAATTATCCGACTTTGACTATATCAAAATGGTCACTTGTTTAAAATAGAGATAAAAAATTTCAAAGCAAGTTATATTTTTTATTTGCTACAGAGTTTTATCATTTACCTCAATCTTGGGTGTATTTAAAGCAACTATTTATGATGTACCCACAACATTTCATCAGACTGTATGTAGGGGACCTTTTTAATAAAATCTTAATTTTTTTTTTTTTTTATTTGTAATCAAGTTATTTTCAAGTGATGACTGTAGAATAGATCTTTTGTAATTGATACCAGCTGGCAGATCTAGACAAGTTTTCATATTTGGTAATATTATAAGGTGGGTAAGGTAAACTGGCTGTAATGATTGGATGCTTTTACCATTTTGCACCCCAATTAGCGTACTAAGAAGTGACACCTTCAGCTGCCCTTTTTGTACACATTAACATGAGTCATACCAATGCAATGTACTGTAAATATGTTATAACATTAATTGTATGGGTTTTTTTTAAATCTGGAAAAAAACTGTTAAAAATCATTGCATAGATTGACTCTCTTGTGAAATTTTCTACAATTTTTAGTAGCCCTGATTTATTTTTAACAAAGTCTTAAGTGGTGAATACCCTGCTGTTTGAATTTAGATTAAAATATTCCTGGGAATGACCTGAGTGGGTCATGTCGTTTTTTTGGTTTTTTAAGAAAGATCAAGACTTGTTCAAACTGTACCAATCTTAAAATGAATAATTGTTGATAAATTTTTTTATGCATTTATAGCTAGAATAAATTTAAAGCATAATTTCTCCTTCCATTTACTATTGGCAAATAACAGCTTAACTAATTGAATATTGGTTGTTCTGGGATACTCTTTAACTCTTTACTCTGGAATAACTTTAATAATGTTTTCATTCTAGTTATGTTTTAATGTAGTTAAGTTTTTCAGCTCTTATTCATAGTAGGTAGTTAAAGGCAGTTGAACAGTGAATCTATTTATTAACGGGTGACTATTGAACACTGGTAGACACTTTTGTTATAACTGAACTAGAGCATTATTTGTGAGTTACTTACTTTTGTATCAAATATGCAAAGTTGAGCCCAAATCATGGTCTTTTGGGGCCATAATTTAGTTATAAAATTCCAAATTTTAGCCCTAAAATTTCTTTTACTTTCCCTAAAATTCCTAATTTTAGCCCTAAAATTTCTTAAAAATTGCCCTAAAATTTGCCCTAATTTTTTGCCAGAGGGTGCTGGACAGCCTGAATATTGTCATTATTATATTGTCATTAACATTGTCATTGACAATATCATCATTGTCATCATCATCAACATTGTCATCATCATTGTCATCGACATTGTCATTGTCATCGACATTGTTATTGTCATCATCATTGTTATCATCATTGTCATCATCATTGTCATTGTCATCATCATTGTCATTGACATTGTCATCATCATTGTCATTGACATTGTCATCATCATTGTCATCGACATTGTCATTGTCATCATCATTGTTTTTGTAGTTTCTAGTCTCATTGGTCTTACTTGTTCCGTATGTCCATTATCATCAACATTATCATCATAGTCATTGATATCATCCTGCCCACCAGTATCATCATTTTCAATATTGAAATAGTCATCATGATCATATTATCAGTACTATCATCATCATCATTATCATCATCATCATTAAATAAATATCATCAAAACATCATCATCATCTTCATTATCATAAAAAACATCATCACATCATCATCACCATCGCCATAGTCTGCATCAGTAGCGCTAGACATTGAATTTCATACGAAATATTTTACTATAACTTTATTGAATAACTGTCTAATGTAATATTGTATTATTCTCTCCCACTTCATATAACATTGGATTTCAACACACACACACAAACATGTAAGTTGAAAAATAAGAATGAATGCATCATGCCACTTGTTGTCGTGTAATTTTATTTTCTAGTTTCATTTCATTTTGGTTAGTTTATTGTGTTCAAATTCCCTATTGTTTTGCATCAAGTGCCTGCATTGGAATGCTCCCTGAGGGGTTGTTTTCAGCTGTTTACTATTTTTAGATTGTGTAAATTCCATGTACTAAAAAAGCCCCCTCCCCCCCCCATAAAAAAAAATAAATAAATAAAATATTGAATTTTTTTTATATTATCTCAAGTCCATTTCACACTAGATACTTAATTTATAGCTTTGAATATTTTTCCTTCATTTGTTCATGGAATTTATACAGTATTAAAGTACTAAACTACTTTTTTGTATCATTTTTTGTTGACATTTTGTTTTTAAAAAAAAGAATGGACTGATTATGTTGTTCCTTGGATGTAAAAAAGAGGTTGTTATTTGAAAAAGCATAAATATATACTTGAATCATCTTAAATATGAAAAAAAAAATGAATTCTGAGTGGGTAAAGTGATGCAGAAAACGACACTTTTGGTCAGTAATTACCTTGACAATGTCAATATATATATTGATTCATAGCATATTTTGCTTATCAGATGTTTTCAACTTCTCTTTCCTTACTATGTTGTAGTTTAGAATGTTTGATGTTGTAATATTGTTGTTGTTGTTGTATAATTGTTGTTTCCTTATGATAGTGGCCCATTTGTAGATAGTTTTTTAACAGTTATGTATTAGAAATAAATTTCCTCTTCCTCCCTTATGTCCCATTATGTCACTGTGAGTACGTCTAATACTATATATGTTTATTATGCTCACACTGATGAACTGGTAATAATAAGTGCAGGAGGAGATTTTACACATTGTAAAAGAACCAGACATTTGTAAATAAATCACCATGGTAGATAGTTCTGTAAGAAAACACAGTTATAAATGGTAATTTTGGAATTTATTTATCAGTCTTGTGTTATATTAAGACATCCTGCACACTATAGCACCTGTTATCTATGGTGCAAGAAAGTACAATTGATTGGATGTCTTAAAATAGAAAGCTGTTAAAGAGATTTCAAAATTGGAGAAAAGAAATAGATCTCAGGGTGTAAATTGATGTAATCATGAGACTAAAACAAAAAGCATGATATGTTTACGACAGGGCTTTTATATATTAACTGTATGTATGTAAAGGACTGGGAACACTGAAAGTGTAATTAATTCAAGTTGCATGCAAGATTGTTATTTGTTTGTCTGTGATGCTATGTCTGTGTAGACTGTTGACTAAGAATCAGTTTTGAAGGATTGGCACAAAATGGTTGTAAAGTATGTGAAATAGAACAATGTACAGATATACCGCTGTCTTGCGCTGAGCAGGTGATTCATAACAATTGAAGAGTCCACTGTCCTCATGAATATTAAGTGTAGATTGCATAAAAAATGCACACAAAAGAATCCCATTGACGTGATAAATAATGGAATAGTAAATCCACTTGGATTTGAAAAGAAATAAGCAAAAAACCACTTAAATGAATACAAGATGAAGTCAATTTGTTTTGACTTATTCTGCACTTTGAATTCCCATCAAGGATGTTAGGCTTGTCTTGGTAATCATTAAGAAAACCGACGCATTTAAGTTGGATCGTAACTTCTTTATACTTTACACTCTGTCATATTACTTGATTGCGGTTTAAAAATTGCAGTTCAAAGGGCAGGACAATGTGCAAAACAGTTGTAATTTGATATGAAAAAAATTATTTCTGAATTAGGAAAACAGTAAGATAATATTGTATCAAACACACAGAAATCATTTCACATGAATACAGTATAACCTGTGAAGAGCAACATCCTGTGGGAGACAAAGAAGTTTGGTTGTTGTTTAGAGGTGTTGCTCTAAAGGTCATTTATTATATGGCAAAGTTTTACTTTTGGAAGAAATGATACTGTTGTTGTAAAGAGGTAAATGCTCTAAAAAGGAAATATTTATATATGCAAGTAATGCAGTCCTGGATTAACAAATCCACAGAAGGTAAATGTTCTTTTAAGGTAGAAATAAATGTATATGCAAAAAATGCAGTCCTGGATTGGCATATCCCCAATAATTAGTATATCCCACAAATACTAATGATTTTACAGTAGTTATTTAAGGAATATTAAAATAATTGTACCAGTGATGTTGTAGAAATTTAGAATATTGTATGCTAAAAGGCAAGGAAAAAGGTTGCACTCACAGAGCAAGCATGAAAAGTGATATGAAAGGCATGAAGCCAGATTAGTTTACCAGACTGTAGTCAGTTCTGGAGAGAGAAAATATGACATTTATTGATGATTCATTCAGAAAATATCATGGAATTTTAACACTCAGTCATTGTAGCTGTTGTTATTTTATATAAAACCCCTAAAGTGGTTTCCGATTTTTGTAGGGATTTTTCAGAAGAATGTTCCATAGAATTTGAGGGTATAGAGTGAAATTGGTCTATCTGCTTCTATTTCTTTATAGAAATGGACCAGTTTCACTCTTAGCCCTCAAGATGATTTTTAATTTGTATATTATGGGGAAAAAACATGTTTAATTTAAAAAAAAAAAATTTTTTAAATTTTTTTTTTGACAGATAAGGGCAGAAACATTACACTAGAATTAAGACAAGATTAAAATGAAAATATAAGAAGTAAATAATTTGTATAGGGAATTGTAGCATTCACTATTGTGTATATATTGTATACCGGGTATATACTAATGTGTATTGACAATATAAATCTGTTATATTTTAGACTGATGAACAGAGAGAAGATTTTGGAAATATACCACCAGCACAAAGAAAAGCCAAGTTATGTAAAAGAATAGATGAAATACGAAAACAAATAGCGCATGAAACTGCGGAAAGGTTCGTACATATCAGTAAAAAATCATGATGCAGGGCTAAAGTTGTGTACAAAAATTAAAACGACTATAATTGAGACCTGTAACTTAGAACTCTGGAAACAGACTTTATCACCAGTATCAAGCCAGTTCAATCTGACCTATCTGTGTTGATAGATCAACTTCAAGTTCTAATCTTTGTACCCTCCAAAATTGGTAATAGACAGTTTTAAAAGTCAAGCAAAGTCAGTTTAACCGTTGTACTGCTGAAACTGAAAGTGGATTAGTCTTTTCTACGTGAATAGGGCCAGGCTAGTCAGCACATTCATGCAATCTGACAAGGCTCTTTACTGTTCAGTGTTGGCTAACTTACTTAAAATTTTAATCTTGATATCCCCACTATAGTTAATGGACAGTTCCAAAAATTTGAACTTAAGTCAATTTAAGATATTTAGCAGGTTATAGGTAAAGAACTTGGGCAGGTTTATGGTTAAGGCCATCACTCGCAGTAACAGTGATTAAAAGCCCTTAGAGCAACTATTTACATGGTTTGATCTGTTTTACTGCTGAATGATATTTGTTTTGAGTTCTTTTGTAACTGATGCCATTTTGTGACTGATTTCAGAGAAGGGATGATCAAAATGAAGGAAGTATACACAAACAATACAGCGTTAGGAGATCCAAACTCAATAGATAAAAAATTAGATCAAAATGCAGAAAAGCTCAATCATTTACAAGGTGAACTTAAGAAAAACCAAGTAAGTTCTTTATTTTTTTGCATTGATATTTTTAATTAAATGATTATGTATTTTGAGGTTTTCATTTTAACACTGTTGTAATTTCCTTTGGGACATTACAATTTTTTAGCGTTAACTCCGCATTTGGTGTATTTTGCAGAAACAGTTTCATAGTCTTAAGCCTGAAGTGTTATGACTAAAATTGAGAAATTTTTTGTATTTAAAAGATTATTGATAATGACAGTCTTAACTTGTTACTATTATGTTACAACTCATGGTATTTTCTGATTAGCTATGCAGATGAACATTGGCAAATTGTGAGATTTAGTGCATGCTATTGCAGAGTGATTTGGTCCTAAGTCAAATGGCTTTGACTAAAGATGAGACAGTATATTGAAACGGGTTAAGTGCAAACACATTTAGTCATAAAGTTGGTCTTACTCCCTTATGCACAATACAGAATAGTCCTTTAAATAAAAGAAAATAATTTCATGTGTCTATCGCAAAATGTTGGTAGAAATTTGAAAGTTGAAATAACATACAAAAACGATGGTATATGATTGCAGGATTTCCTCCACGACGCGGAGAGTGAAATGAGTATGAGGCGGCATGGCTCCGACGACTCGATGACTCACAGCATCACGTCGGAGGGTAGTAATAATATACAAGGGTCGGCGCCCGGCACACCTGTACAACAACACATACCACCTGAAGAACTTTACGAGTATGTAACAGTTAAATTTTTCTTATTTCGATTGTGTGAAGTTCCGGTCATTTTGATTTAGACTTGTGTTTATTGTTCAAGGAACGCTTTATTTTGCTCAATATGATTCTGTTTTTTTATCACGGAAATGTTTATTTGTGATACTGTTCATTTAATGAAGGCACATGTGTTCTGACAAATGACTTCTGAAACTTGTTTTGGTAACTAAAAACGAAATCTCTGGAAGGGATTAAACATTTTAAAAAGTGAAATGACAACATTGTTATGTTTTCAGATTCAAACAGATAATGCCTTTTGTTTGTACTAAGTACTGTAAAAAGTGTTTCCAGTCACTTTTAATTAAGATGTCACATTTAGAGTGAAAATAAACTGAACAAGTTTTGGCCCAAAATTGTCCCCTCAGGGACTTTGGATACTTTCATATGAGGAAGGTGGTTAAGGAAAATCGGTGGTTCTACATGCCTGTTTGTGGCTGGAATAATGCACAGAAGGGTACCTGAGGTCTTCTTTCACTAGTAAAGCTTGAAAGTCACCATATGACCTATACTGTGTTGGTGTGACGTAAAACCCAACCAAAAAAAACAACAACAAAAAAGAACCAACCATTGAGCAATGAACCAGTAAACAATTGAATATATATAGATATATTGATAAACCTAACATAATGTAAGGTAACTCAGCTTTGTAATTTGTTGTTAGGCACTTGCTTTATCTAGTACTGATGCTTTAGTTACAAACTTATATTAACAGGCTTATCTAAAACATGTAAGATTTAAAAAATCCAGAAATATGGGAGATCCCTTGAAAGCAATAAAAAAACAAAAATTATACGAAAACAACAGGCTCGGTTTGATTGAGTCTGTCCATAATGGATAATGAAAATGTGCAACATTTCTCACGCCCCCAAACACTAGAAATCAATCAAGGTAAATGATTTCTTGATCCCATTGTTTATTGGTGTTGTTAGTTAGAAATTTGACCAAACAATTTGATAGATCTACTTATAGATTGTCTGTCAAATTGTTATATTGGAAATGAATTTCATTTGTCTTTATCTACAAAAATTACACTTTTCATCATTTTGCTGATAACTGTATAATTAGTTACCTGTTCATGTAGTATTGTAGATGTGCATGTAAAAGCTGCTGATTTTAAATTTCTAAATTGTTTGCCCAAAATTCCAGCTAGTTTTAGAAGCAGCATTTTGGTTTCAAGGCTTTCTTTATCATGATTCTATTAGAATGTTGTTTCCATGACATTGTTAACCTTGACCCTTTAGAAAAAAAAACGAAGAAAAATACAATTCCTGTTTGAATCAGTGAGAAAAAAAGTAATTTTGATGAAGTTGAAAAAAAATCAAAACAGGAAAGGTTTAGCTGTAGATTATAAGCAAGCATAATATAAACAGCATCTTTGTTGATTGTTGTTAAAGTTTTTTTTGCTACTTTATTAATTATTGTTTGGAATTTGTTGTTATTTCTTAAATAATATTTCTACTTAAATGTGTACTAATTAGTAAAATGATTTTTTGAAAAATTTCAAAAGTTTTTATTGACTGTGGCTTTTTCATATATGACCAAGATGGAAATATATTTAAACTTATTCAGACATGAAATATGTTTAAACTTAAGACGTAAGTTAAGACGTAAATTAACTTAACCAGAAATAAGACAAGAAATAAGTTAAGACATATATTAACAGTCTGTTGTATTGACCATCATAATCCTTTTCCTTCATGGAATGACCATCAATCATTGGATATGTCTCATGTTACCATGGTATTTATTTGCTTTCCAGTCGAAGATCTAGTAGAAATAGTAGATATCGGTAAATTAGCTTTATTTTTGTTTGTGCTCATATCTTAGATGTATTGTTATTTTGCTACTGCCTGTGCTCTGCTGCTAGAAATATCTTACAGTCTCTAACCTTAGTTAACAGTTAAAAAACAGAGAAAAAATCCCTCTTTGCAGCCCTCATGTCTGTAGATTCTGAAAACTTTATTTCTCAAATTTCAAACAATATTCTTAGACACACAACAATGGCATTCACTGACTTAGAATAGAAATAGAAATAAAAATTTAGTGAATAAATGCATTTTGATGTCCTTCATCATCATCATCATTATCATCATCATCATCAAGTATATAAAAATCTTTTCATCATCATCTACATAACAATCTTGTTATAATTATCATCATTTTCATCATCATCATCATTATCAACTACATAACAATCTTGTTATGTCATTATCATTATCATCATCAGCATAACAATGTTGTAATCATCATCATTATCATTATCTTCTACATAACAACCTTGTTATGTCATTATCATTATCATCATCAACATAACAATGTTGTAATCATCATCATTATCATTATCTTCTACATAACAACCTTGTTATGTCATTATCATTATCATCATCAGCATAACAATGTTGTAATCATCATCATCATCATTATCAACTACATAACAACCTTGTTATGTCATTATCATTATCATCATCAACATAACAATGTTGTAATCATCATCATTATCATTATCTTCTACATAACAACCTCGTTATGTCATTATCATTATCATCATCAACATAACAATGCTGTAATCATTATCATTATCAACTACATAACAACCTCGTTATGTCATTATCATTATCATCATCAACATAACAATGCTGTAATCATTATCATTATCAACTACATAACAACCTCGTTATGTCATTATCATTATCATCATCAACATAACAATGCTGTAATCATTATCATTATCTTCTACATAACAACCTTGTTTAATGTTATAGAGCATAGGAAAGTTATTTTATGAATACGGTTTCTGTCACTCTTCTGTCATCACTGAAAACAATTTGAAGAAAAAACAAGTTTTTGGTTTGGTAATAAATCTGCATGTTGATGTGAGAGCTTATATACATACATGGAATAATGCTTTGTGCCTTTTTTCTGTCATGGACAGAAATATTAAATGTTTGTGTGTACTTAATAATGACCAGTGTTTAATGTTTGCAATATAGCAGAAATGTTCTGTTTAAGTGTGTTCAATGTAGCCAGAAAGAAAAAAGATGGAAAAAAATCAGTTTGCAGTGTAAAAAGAATTTTGGCTAAATGTTTTGTTACCTCCTATAATAGGTTACCTAATTTTTATGTTTTTTAAGAAGAAGAAATGTTCTTTAAAGTGATAGATTTTGTTTTTATTTATACAAACTTTTCTATCTATTCAGGAAAGAATGTTTTTTTTAAACATTTTTTTATCAAAATTGTTATTTTTTGTTAGAAGCAACAAAAACTAAAGAATCTAGTGTAATGAATTTATAAAAAAAAAGGAACATGCTTTGTTCTAAGATATAGTTCAAACTGTCACTTGAGGTAACAAAACATTGGAAATAGTATGTTGTTATTTGGCATGGTACTAAAACTTTGCTGGATAATAATTCCGCTTTTCTTTACCTTTCAAGAAGAAAATATAAAATTTCATTTATTTTATTGAACAAAAGAGATGAATATGTTGCATTTTCACCACTTAGAAAAGAACGTTGTATTATTAATTATTGTTGTTTTTAAGATAAACACAATTTCTATTGCCCTTGAAAAAAAAAAAAATTGTTTAACCTATGCTCTTGTAGTATATTATAGAAAAAAGAAACATATTTTGCTTCAGCCCATCCAGAAAAAGATACATTCTTTGCTTTACTTCTTCTAGTAAAAAGAAACTTTCTTTGCTGTTGCCCTTCCAGGAAAAGAAACATTCTTTGCTTTACTTCTTCTAGGGAAACAAATCAGTTCTTTGCTTAAGTCCTTCAGAAAAAATAGAAATTGCTTTATCCAAGAAGAAAGAGATATTTACCATATAAAAAACTTTTACTTATCAAAAAAAAGGAATATGCATTGTCTATTATTTACCATGCAATAAAACAATTCTTTATTTGTTATGTTACTTTAATCATTGACTTATTTTTGCCATGTATATGACATCAAATCATTTATTAACATTTTAGTGTTCAATCAAATTTAAAAAAAATACTTCAGTTGAATTTTATGCTATTTCTTTAGAACAAAACCTTGTGGCCCTTACGGGGGAGTTTTGCTTTAGTTTAGATGTACAATCATATACCTGAGAAAATTTACTTTTGATCACAAACCATACATGTATATACATGTATATATTTATATAGAAAACTTGAAATTTAAAAATAAAAGAATAATATTTAAAGGTATCATTTTATCTTCTTGTCATATGGATATTTTATTGGAAAATTGATGGTTTTGATGGACAGCCAGTCTATAAATGCCATAATGTCTATATCCTTGGGCTGTTATTTTATTGGTTAAATTTGAAAGATATAAATTTGATTATGTTCTACTGGATATGGCTTAACATAAGTCCTAGTAGATTCTTGGATCCTACACCTTCTATTGTAAGTTAATATTTATGAACCTGGATCAATAGATCAGGAGGGTGTATTTTTATTGGTCAGTCTGTCTGTTTGTTATGTCTCTCTAGTAAAAAAAACAACAACAAAAAAACAACAACAAAAGCAACCTTGACCAAAGAACAGAGGTTACCCACTTACAGTCTCTAAATTCTATAGGTGAATGCATGCAACTTGATGAACTTCCCAAGCTAGACCCACTTACAGGTCAAAGGTCAATGTCAAAGCCAGGGTTATGGTGTTTATTTGAATGTAGCAATTGTTCTTAAATATAAAATGGTTGTTTGTCATTAAAAAGATTATAGAAGAAAAAGGTTATATAACATACTCAAAAAGACTTGTTTTCCAAATTAGATTTAAAAATCCTTCCTGATGTACTGTTTCAGAAAAATTGCTGAGTTTATATATTGTAAGAAAATAAATAAAAGGAAAAAAAGAAAACATTGTATTAAAACTTTTTTGTTTTGAAGGAAAGAAAAGCAATCAAATAAAAAACCCAAAAGGTAATGTAAAATCAAAATTATGTGAATGCAAAATGTACATGTATATTTTACCCTTTAGCCTGCTGATATTGAAAGTGATTACCTCATTCACAGGTACAGAGCTGGTCCAGCCTGCACATCCATGCCGTCTGACCAGGCTCAATAATGTTGGTTGTCAACTTTTAGCTCACCTGAGTATAAAAAAAGGCATTTATGGAAAAACTTGATTACATTGGCACTATTTCAGGTGCAGATATGAATGTTATGATGCCAGTTTAAGTTTATAACATTATATCTGCCTTTCTTTTATTGCTTACAATGTTAATTCAGAGACTTTGAATAATCAGGTGAGCAATGTTAGGGCCATCTTTATATCCCTAAAATTGATAATGGACAGGTCCAGAAATGGAAATTGGACAAGTCTATTTAAGAAATTCAGCAGGTTAAAGTTTAGTACAAATGTATATTACTGGTGTAATTAATGACTAGCTTAAACAGGGTGTTGGTAATGAAATTTAAGAGTTTTCAGAAATATATGTGAAATTTATTGTAAAATTAGGACAATGTAGCTATTAAAAATTTAAGACGAACATAATTTTGATTGCCATGGTAATATATGTAATTCTAGTGAGTAATTTATATTTTGAAGCAAATCCTTTTAAGTAGAATGTACATGATTTTTATGGTTTCAGAGGCAGAGTAAGAAATTGGTTGGATTCTTAGCCCGGTTTGGAGCGATGCTTTTCTTTTTTGGGTCATTATATATTATATGCATAAAAAAAATAATTATTCTGGAAAATCTAAAATAGTAGTACACAATTATTAGAAAAAATATTTCCAGTCCTGTCATTCCAAATTTCTTAGTGGAGTCCCTTTAAAAGTATTATTTTAATATTACTATGGTTATATATGTATCTTCATTGGTAAGGTATGTTACACTAGTAAGATGACATAGTGTGGTTTGGTTATATATAGTAAACTAGCATCAATATAATTATTATAAATATGCATCAAAGGGGAGTGATGTGGTAAATTGAACTTTTAAGTTATAGAACATAGAAAGCAGATACATTGTATGATAAATGTAGTTTATGAAATACTATATTAAAGGTTACTGGAATATAGAAGTTTCATTTTAAAATACTGATTACTTTTAAATCTGAACTAATTCTTTATTGCAGTATTACAAAAGGTATAAAATTATATACATTAAAGGCCTACTATGCCACAGAAATGTTATCTATTTATTTCTCAAAAAACTTTCTTATTTTGGTATCTAATGTTGCAGTTTCCAAAAAAATATTCATTTGCCATATAGATGAACTACCTTTGCCTCTTTTACTCTGTTGATAGTTGGTATAACTATAGTGAATTGGTATTTTGTATGTAAGTCGAAATACTACTTTGTTTACATTTTGCTACTTTTAGGACACATTACTGCACATTCAATGTTACTTTCTTCAGCTGTCCAACATCTAACTTCCTCTAAATCCATTATTAAAACATTATTTAACACATGTTTGACATAACGAAAGAATAAAATAAATATGGATTTCTGAGGCATAATGATTGTGCCTTTAAAAAGTACATGTTTAAAATGATGGAAAGTAAAAATAAAACTTGGGATCAGTTGACTGCATTTACTTTTTAAATAGATCATCTTTTGTTGTTAGCTAAAAAAAAATTAATTTATTTTACCTAACAGCTTTCAAACTCTTTTATATTTTATTTTTGTTTCATTTTCTGTACATTTTCTATATACTTAATATTGTTCCATTGGTTAGGCTTACGGTTTTTCATCATTTTAGCTTAATTAAAGAGAATTTTGTGAATGTTTTTATTAATTTTCTATTTTTAGACCGGTAGAAGAACCGTCACTTGATCCGGAGCCTGACACATTCTTAAACGACAATGAGAACGATGACGAGTTCTCATATCCAGTAATTGGAAGTTGCCGAGCACTTTATCCGTTTGATGGTTTGTATTTTACACAAATTATTACCCCACAATTAAAGTATATTTTTTGGTTTTGGATTATGATTTACAGTTTATACTTGCATGGTCTCTTCATACTAATTTATTGTTATACGAAATACCTATTTCTTAAAACAAAATGGTGGTTAAATTAGTATGCTCAGTTAACTTTCAAGAGAGGCTCTTGTTGCCTTTTTAATAAGTTGTCGATCTTGAATGTCATAGGGCAAAGGTCAATTAAATCTTACCTATCATTTAAGGTCAAGGTTCTAGTAATTTTCTTAATGTAGATAAGTGTTCAAAAGTAAGGTTTTACAGAAATAGATTGGTCAAGAGATTGACCATGTAAATGAATATGAACCAATTAAGTGATTGAAATTATGTTATATACAGTTGATTTACTAGACTGAAAATTATTTTACCAAAGTAAATAAAGTGTTACAATTCTTTGCAAATATTGCAGTTATATTGGACAGAAAATGATTTCAAACATTATTAATATTTAAAATCAAGGTTCTATTAGTCATGCACATCTTTAAAGGTCAAGTTTCTTTTAATCATGTATCTTATCTGAGGTCAGAATTCTCTGTATCATCAAAGGTCAAGATTCTTTTAACCTTATACATATTATTAAAGGTCAAGGTTCTTTTAACCTTTTATATATCATTTTAGGCCAAGGTTCTTTTAATCATGTATATATCATTTAGGCCAAGGTTCTGTTAATCTTGTATATATCATTTTAGGCCAAGGTTCTTTTATCTTTTAATCTCTTATCATTTAAAGTAAAGGAATATCATTTAGGGCAAAACAATTTTTATCTTGTATTTCATTCTTATATTTACATGATAGCATTTTGCTCTGCTTTCTTATAGATTTAATGAGTTGCTTCAGAAAGCAATGTTTCTTTTAAAGTGATATTTGTATCATAAGTTTCAAACATCTTTAGCTCCAGACATCAATATTGTATCTATGTACTTGTTTTGAAGATGTTTTTTTTATTTATTTTTTGTCACTATAGCAACACCTGGAGGTATTTAACATTATATATATTTTAACACACAATACACACTTCTTCTCTTCTATGACATAAGATCTAGCTTCTTTGTTATAATGTCATTGTGACAAAATGATAAAAGCATGAAGAACTTTCAGTTATACTTATGACTGTGTCTCTTCCAAAGATAAAATGTTCTGTTAAGAAAGTAAAAGCGTTCTTATGGGTTTGTCTGTTCCAAAGATGTCTGTTAAGAAAGTAAAAGCCTTCTTATTGCTATGTCAGTTCCATAGATAAAATGATCAGTTAAGAAAGTGAAAGCATTCTTATGGCTATACCTCTTCCAAAGATAAAGTTATCTCTTAAAAAAGTAGTAGGGTACTTATGAATATGTCTGTTCTAAAGATAAAGTCTTCAGTTAAGAAAGTGAAAGCATTCTTATGGCTATGTTTGTTCCAAAGATGAAGTATTTAGTTAAGAAAGTAAAAGCGTTCTTATGAATATGTCTGTTCCAAAGATAAAGTCTTCAGTTAAGAAAGTGAAAGCATTCTTATGGCTATGTGCATGTGCCTTCCAAAGATAAAGTCTTCAGTTAAGAAAGTAAAAGCGTTGTTATGAATATGTCCCTTCAATAGGCTAATGTCATTTGTTAAGAAAGTGAAATCAGGATTCTTCCGGAAATTTCCCCTTCAATTTGTAATCTACAGTATTTTTGTTCATGGAATATATTCTGGTCTTATCCTTTCAAAAGACAAATAACACCATGAAGGTATCAGTATCTTTGGGTATGACCTCTCAAATGATAATGCTTTAATATTTTGGTTGGCTTCATCCTGACCTCTCAAAGACTGAAGTTTCATAAAGAGCTGATATTAACTATGTTATTATTGCAAAATACATGACAAAGATACCTTACTGTCAATGTAATTATTGTATCCTAGAAACTAGCAAGTCAAAATTATGTAAGATAAATTAATATGTAGCATGCAGTAAATGTATATTAAGATTTTTTATCAAATTCAAACAGCTTAGACTTCAAGTCTGAAATAGTTTACCTTTCATGGATGTTTTTATATTATCTTATGTGGTGGCATTTGCTCTGCTTTCATGAAGATTTAATAAGTTGCTTCAGAAAGCAATGTTTCTTTAAAGTAATATTTGAATCATAAGTTTCAAACAAATTTAACTCAAGACATCAAAATTGTATCTATGTACATGTTTTGAAGATGTTTTTTTTATTTATTTTTTGTTACTATAGCAACAGCTGGAGGTATATAACATTTTCTATATTGTAACACACAATACACACTTCTCCTCTATGACATAAGATCTGGCTTCTTTGTTATCATGTCCTATGACAAAATGATATAAGCATGAAGAACTTTCTGTTATACTACTGGCTATGTCTCTTCCAAAGATAGTCATCTGTTAAGAAAGTAAAAGCATTCTTATGGCTGTGTCTATTCCAAAGATGGTCTTAAGTCAAGAAAGTAAAAGTGTTCTTATGGCCATGTCTGTTCCAAAGATAGTCTTAAGTCAAGAAACTGGAAGCATTCTTATGGCCATGTCTGTTCCAAAGATAGTCTTAAATCAAGAAAGTAAAAGCATTCATATGGCCATGTCTGTTTCAAAGATAGTCTTAAGTGAAGAAAGTAAAAGCATTCATATGGCCATGTCTGTTTCAAAGATAGTCTTAAGTCAAGAAAGTAAAAGCATTCTTATGGCCATGTCTGTTTCAAAGATAGTCTTAAGTCAAGAAAGTAAAAGCATTCTTATGGCCATGTCTGTTTCAAAGATAGTCTTAAGTCAAGAAAGTAAAAGCATTCTTATGGCCATGTCTGTTTCAAAGATAGTCTTAAGTTAAGAAAGTAAAATCATTCTTATGGCCATGTCTGTTTCAAAGATAGTCTTTACACTTAAGTCAAGAAAGTAAAAGTATTCTTATGGCCATGTCTGTTATCAAAGGTAATCTTAAGTCAAGAAAGTAAAAGCATTCTTATGGCCATGTCTGTTCCAAAAATAGTCTTAAGTCAAGAAAGTAAAAGCATTCTTTTGGCCATGTCTGTTTCAAAGATAGTCTTAAGTCAAGAAAATAAAAGCATTCATATGGCCATGTCTGTTTCAAAGATAGTCTTTACTCTTAAGTCAAGAAAGTAAAAGCATTCTTATGGCCATGTCTGTTTCAAAGGTAGTCTTATGTCAAGAAAGTAAAAGCATTCTAATGGCCATGTCTGTTCCAAAAATACTTTTAAGTCAAGAAACTGGAAGCATTCTTATGGCTATGTCTGTTCCAAAGATAGTCTTAAGTCATGAAAGAAAAAGCATTCTTTTGGCCATGTCTGTTTCAAAGATAGTCTTTACTCTTAAGTCAAGAAAGTAAAAGCATTCTTATGGCTGTGTCTATTCCAAAGATGGTCTTAAGTCAAGAAAGTCAAAGCATTCTTATGGCCATGTCTGTTCCAAAGATAGTCTTAAGTCAAGAAACTGGAAGCATTCTTATGGCCATGTCTGTTCCAAAGACAAAGTCATCTGTTAAGAAAATAAAACCTCTCTTTTAGCTATATCTCTACAATAGGATAATGTTGTTCTTTTAGAAAGTGAAATCAGCATTTTTCTGGAAATTTCCCCTCAAATTTGTAATTTACAGTATTTTTGATCATGTTTTTTTTCCTTTTCAAAAGATGAAGTTAATCTGTATTTAGACTCGGACCTATCAAATAATTAGTGAATCACAAAGGAAGCAAAATATTTGTTGTGTTGGTTTTCTCCTGACCTCTCAAAAGATAAACTAAGATCAATCATAAAGAGCTGATCACTATTGTTAATGTTATTATTGCCAAACAAAGATACCTTACTGTCAATGTAATTATTGTATCCTAGAAACTAGCAAGTCAAAATTATGTAAGATAAATTAATATGTAGCATGCAGTTAATGTATACTAAGATTTTTTATCCATCAATAGCTTTGAATTCAAACAGCTTAGACCTCAAGTCTCAAACATGTTATATTCCATAATCTCCCTTTGAGGAAATATTTGATAGAATTTGTATACCTTCCATGGAAATTGTATGTTTACCTGCCATGGAAATTGTATGTTTACCTTTCATTTAAAATGTATCATCTCCCAATGAATTTCATTTTCAACAGGATTGTTGTAGATTTGAATATTTTATCTGTAGACTATTGATGGATTGAAAATCTTCAGCTTTTGTATAAGGTAGAATAAGCTAATAAATTTTCTTAAAAAAAATGTAAAAAAAATATAAAGATGCAGTTATTTGCTTCTGTAGCATTTACCTATTTGATATCTGAAACTGCAAAGTAATTTCTATAAAGGATTTTAATGTAGATATGTTATAAAAGATGGGGAGAAAATGATAAAAGGCAGCTTAGCACAGGTATTTGTATAGCTAAGTGCACTTTTTTTAAACAAGAGGCTTTTTAACACAGCTTTTTAGGCAGAATTAATTTATATCGAATAAAGTATAATAAAAGAGAACAGTCACAGAAAAAATCAGCTAATGGCAAGAAAGTGATGTACTGGAAGTACTGTACTGGAATTTTTTTTATCAGGAAGAACTATACTATAAGTACTGTTCTAGAAGTATTTTCCTGGAAGTACTGTACTAAAGGTACCAAACTGGAAGTTCTGTACAAAAAGTATTGTTCAGTATTTTACTTGAAGTACTGTAAAATAAGTAAAGGTATTTAACTTGCGGATGCGCAGGCTGATCTGGATCCATGCTGGCCGGAAACGCTCTATGTTGGTTTTGTCGTGACGCGGCTCAAATAATTGTAAAAATAGTAGACAGAAATTAATAAAAAAATGTTTATTTTGGGTTAAGTTATGGGTTGTTTTGGAAAATGACTTGAGCCAGGTTTAGTACAGCTGTCATAAGTAAGCAAGCCATTTATTTGAACTGTACTAACAGTTAAATTTGCAAATAAAGCTATAAAAATGGAACAGTAAAATAGTGTCCTACATTAAATACTCTATAATTATACATGTGTATTATTTGAACAATTGCATGAGAAGAGTCAATGTTCTGTTCTTTATAAAAATTGAACTCACAACTTGCACATGTGCTGTGATAAATTGATGCTATATTTATTTCACTGTGTCCTATACAATAATTACTTCCCTTTCACTCTTATTGAATGAACGTTTATTTTACTGATCATGGGTGCCTTGTAGAGGCTTATTGAGCGAAGCATAAAGAAAGCATTTGTGTGATTCAGATCTGCTAGCTTAGCTCAATAGAAAGAGCATTGGATTGAGGTCGCTGGTTCGATCCTCGGGCATGGCGTCATTGAGTCTAATGGTCATTTGTCTCTTACCACCAATTCAGAAATCTTGTGGGATGAGTAGCCGGGTCACTTGTGGGCAAATTGGTTATTGGTTAGTTATCCAGGTGAATCAACAGCAGAGATGTGTGACCAAATGTGTTTAAATCAATGTAAAAACCAGAAAGAAAAAAAAAAGTGAAAACAAAAAATGCCAAATTTGAAGAATGACATTTAGCTCAGCTATTACAAAATTTCCGTTATTTGTTATTTTCCAATGACATCAATACATGGTAATAGCATAGTAATATTTGTGATTTATGTGCCTAACATTCTTCATGTTTTAGTTTTAATTCTTTTACAGTAGTAGAAGATAAAAAGTTATTATTTATGCATGGAAAAAATATGTGTCAAAAATAGCAGATAGGAGAACCTTTGGTTCTTTATGTCAAATAGAAATAAAGGTGTACTGTTTAAAAAAAGTTTAATTATAAAATTATAGGTATGTAAATATGGGTTGTATGAGATTTTTATACATTATATTGTATATATTTTTACAGCAATCAATGAAGGATCTGTGAGCATGCAGGAGAATGAAGAAATGTGGGTGCTAGAGCAAGACCAGGGTGATGGCTGGACTCGTGTTCGCAAAAATGACAACTCAGAGGGATTCGTACCCACGTCATACGTGCAGTGTCACTACTATGACCAGGACGCTGTCTAGCGGTCCCGCTAGAGGGTAGCATGTAGAAATAGAGCGGGGCGTTACTGAGATACAGACCAGTTTATCAAAAAGGAATGTGGAATATTTCACACACATAGAAGTTGTGTAGATTCTCAAACTTTACAGATGTATTATCTTTGTACAGCATGGTATACTCAAAACAAACATAACATTTTGATGAAAAAGTTCCCCTTTACGTTAAGATGTATGGGAATAACCTTCTTTGATACTAAATGTTAAAAGGAATAGACAGGAATTGAATGAGAAAGCATTACCGGCATGGTGAAGTGCCGTTTGCTACAAGAGATTGGGAAAGCAGGGAGAGATTTTTTCACCAAATTTGAGTCAGTCTAAGAACGCTCAGTACGGGCCAAAACTTTTGTTTATGTTTAACCAAATTTCTTTTTTGTTGATGACTGTACAGGATTGTGTTGAGCTAAACCGTTATGTATATAATTATGTTCTGTAACAGACTATAGAGTGTACCTCGTTACGTAAACGGGATATTTATCCAGATATATATTATACTGGGTACTGAAAACCACGAAAATACCGTTATAAAAATGAAACCAACAAATCTGCCTCTTCCTTAATTTGCCATTTTAAGGATGCAGCAAACTAGACGATCTTTTTTTGTTCCTTGTCAAAAGATAATTCTCAGAGATTTTGATTTGACTGTGCAACTTCGTGTTTTGTTTTGTTTCTTATCAATTTCAGTGTCTTATTTATGCAAATTGAGTTGAGTTTTTTTTTTAATGTGTAAAATGTGTTTTAAACAAATTTTTTGGATTCAGTGTAAAACAATTTAAAATGAATACAGGATATAGTTACAGTTGTTTTGTACAAAATATGCAATTCGATTTGTCAGACACAAGTTGAATATGTTACAGATTCATAGTCTGTCGTTAATACATGCAGACTGTTTTTAATTGTCTGGTATTTGGTAGAAATTGACAAAACAGACTGTGAATCAATAAATAGATGGGCTGTGTTCATTTATTACTGGTCTGTGTTGCTGAAATTTCCAAAATTTGGACTGTATTTAAAAATAATATGAATAACCAGTCTATTTCCTGTTTGCATACACAGTCTATGAAATGTTTCGATGTATGGTGCTGAATAAATTTGCAATGTGCTTCAGAAGGAAATACTGCTGTTAATGCCACATTTGTTGTAGGACTTGGGTACATGTATTAGCATGTTTTGCTGTTAAGAAATTATTATTTACTACAATAATATTGCATAATTGATTATCAGTAAAATTTTTAAAATGAAAAAAAATTTTTTTTAATAAAAAACAAACCAAAACAGACTATAATAGTTTCATTATTTGTTATTGAAAAGCAATGCCAGTAATTAATTTCCTGACTTTTTTTCCAATTATGTAATTGATGATATTTGATATAATTTGTGAAAAAAATTAGAAAAGAATATTATCATATTTTAACATTTTTTGGGGGGATTGAAATATCAATAGCATCGTACACATCTGCAGTTCTGAATTATATCCCTTTATTTAAAGAAAAAGATAGAGAAAATACAATAAATTAGTCGGAGATTCACTATGTCATTTATGGTATTATCATTTGGGTCATTAAGAGTAAGTTTTAATAAGTTTTGATTTCCTGTTAAAAGTGTTTTTGTTTTTTTAACTCTCGAAACGTCTTACCCCAGGGTATCTTATGATTTGCCATATTTAAAGCATTTGGCTATAAGGATTGCTATTATTTGTTCATTTTCACCTTCCAGAATCAAAATTTAAGTTTAGAAATGATATTGCTCTTTTTTATATTGCTGTATGAAGCTGTTTGATTTCGATCATTTATTACTCATGCCACATAATACCATTTGTTGATGCATTACCTGAAATTGTTCAGGTAATCATACATGTGTTATTAAAAAGTAATTATATCTCCATTGATGATGATGATCCTTTGCATTTGAATTTATGACAAATATTGCCTTACTAATGTAGATAACACTTTTTTATTTAAAAAAAAAATGAAATATTTAAGTGAAAATTAAAAGAATATTTTTTTTTGCAAATGGTGTATCTCTAAAAAAAGGGAGGTTAAAAATCTATATTTACTTCCCTTTGATACATTGCAAATGGTGAGTCACTAGGAAAGGGGGGGGGGTAATCAATGTGTAGATAGGTTAATTAGTATAAGCAATGCTGATAATTAAAACCATTATTGTAGATTATGTTTTAAAATCCTCTGTTATATGTACTGTGCAATACATGTAGAATGTTTTTTTTGTTTTTAAAAGATTTTTTTCTTCATGTTTTGTTGTAAAAATATAGGTCAGGGCATCTAATCTGTAAAGGTACAGACTGATTTTTCTTTTTTGTTTTAGAAAAAGGTTTCTTTTTGTATCAGGTCAGCCTACAATTATCATGTGTGAATAAAATTTGTAAATTTTCTGTTTATTATGTACCCTGAAGAAGGCTGTTTGGCCAAAACGTTGGTATATTAAAGGGAATTATAGAATATGCAGTTTTTGCTTTTTATACTTTCTGTTTATTTGTACAAGTACACTATATGTATTTGTATGTGCTAATTAAAGAAGTATAGAACAAATGTACATTGTTTAATTGAAATTTATATTTTCTGAATGAATAAAGGTTTATATTTATTTTAGCATAAACTAAATTCTTACACAGAAGAATGGCTAAATGTGTCTTTAATGTTCAGTCATTTACAATTAAAAAGTAATTATAATTGAAATGTGGTCTCAGATTCAATAAATTTACTGTATAGATGACGGCCGTCAGTTACAGGTTCTTCTGTATGTGGTTTTAAGGTGGCCGTTTGTAAAGGTTTGATAATATAATAAGGACATATAATAATTAGTGATTAGTTAATTGGATATAAAATTTTTAAGTCATGCATACACATTTTAATAAGCAAGTTACATAATACTTTTCATTTTTTAGTTTATTTCAAAAAAAACTATATATATATTATTTTTTTTTTTTTTTACTTTGTAGTCATCACTTAATAAGTTCATTATTAAATCTATATAGTTTGTATTTTTTGCATTATTTTGTAATATGTATAGTATGAAATCCAAAGAAAACATAAACCCTCCCTTTCTTTCTTGTTTACCAATGGTCTAGTCTCACTAATGGGCTAGCCTCCCCAATGGTCTAGACTCATCAATAGTCAAGCCTTACCAATGGTTTTGACTCAATAAAAGTCTAGCCTTACCAATGGTTTAATCTAATAAACAGTCTAACCTTACCAATGGATTAGCCTCACTAATAATCTAGCCTTACCAATGGTCTAGACTCCTGAATAGTCAAGCCTTACCAATGGTTTAGACTCACTAATAAGATAGCCTTACCAATGGTCAAGCCTCACCCATGGTGTAGAGGACCAATATTGGTGTTGAATTTTGTTTATAGTCTAGGGGTGAGCATAGAATTGATTAATTTCTGCATGATTACATACATGTAGTTTATTATAACAACAGATAAAAAAATGTGATGAAGGAAATGTTGCCTTTAATTCTGAAAACAAATATGCTTAGGATAAATGGATTTAAATGACATTTTCCTAAAGGTGACCTTGTAGAAATTTTTATTACTTGATGGCAATTGATTTTGTTTATATTTTTCTCTGTTCTTGAAATGGTCTTGTATAGTATACAAAATTGAGTAGAACTTTTTTGTATGTGTCTACAAAAAAGGTTATTATTATATGTTCAAAATTGTATAAAGTTTTGTCTGTACATTAGATTGGTGCAATTCAATGTTAGTATTTGAAAGTAATGTTTCTTAAATTGTGTAACTTGTCAACTTTTGTACAAAGAAAATGCGTCCTTTTTAACAAAACCGTTTTTGTATATATTTTGTATGTAATGTTTTTGATAATTGAGCTGTGTCACGACAAAACCAACATGGTGCGTTTGCGACCAGCATGGATCCAGACCAGCCTGCGCATCCGCGCAGTCTGATCAGGATCCGTGCTGTTCGCTAACCAACTCTATTACAAGTAGAGGAACTGATAGCGAACAGCATGGATCCTGATCAGACTGCGCGGATGCACAGGCTGGTCTGGATCCATGCTGGACGCAAACCCATTATGTTGGTTTTGTCGTGACGCGGCTCAATTATGTTTTGAAAACCGATTCTGATAATAAGCCAATGAATGATTGATAATCCATTTATTGGGAGGAAAAGATATTATGTAAAAGAAAAAAAATTAAATTTTGAATTAAAAGAAGGAAAATGTTTAAACAGAAAAAAAAAAAATGATTTTAAAGAATTTTTTTTCTTGAAATTTATTTATTCTATTGATTGTGTTGGAAACTAAGACTGATTATTTAGTCATTGTGCAAAACAACAACAACAACACATTTAGCAACACATTAAGCTACTTAATGCAATTTGTTCCATGAAAAGAGTTTTCCTATAAAGTTTTTTTTTTTCTGTACAATTCCGACTTCTTTAACATTTTTTTTTATTATTTAATTTTCAATAAGTTCTTTCTTTATAAATTGGCCTAAGAATTCTTCTACTGCTTGGTAATGAAATATATGCTGAGTCATACATGTGAACTTTTTTTGATGATCAAGTGGGAGGTTTTTCTTCAAAAAGAGGGAGATTTAAGAATTTGCAATAAATAAAGAAGGAAGTTCTGACATTAAAAATAGGTAGATTTGTTAAATTTGTGAAAATACCCCTTATTTCAAAAAAAAAATCTTTGAAAATATGACTGCAGAAATAGGGAGTCTCCCGCTAAAAGTGGGAGAGTTCACATGTATGCTGAGTTTAGAAAGATCATTTTAGTCGTATCTACTTACCGTCACATCATCGTCTTGTCAGATTTTAAAAATTTCATTGACCACCACTTGCTAAGCATCGGCTGTAAACCATTCGTACAAATTCGTCCATAAACAATATCAGTGGTATCGAGTCTGTAACATTTTTCAAATTTGCCGTTTTGAGCGTTCTTTAGGGATTCTGTGTTGCTCCATTTTGTCACTTCGCTTTAAGGAGGCAGTGTTACACAGATGCAAAGTCTTAATGTAAATAAGGTTAAGTTGCTGTTAAAGGCCAGTGTTCTAATAAATACTGATTATGTTACATAGATATGTTAAATTTTGGAGATAAAATAGTGCTTTTATACCATAAAGTTTAATACAGTAGTGGATATTTTCATCCATTACAAGGACATTTTTTCTCTCGATACAACTCTTATAACAGTTTAACCATTTGACTGCTAGGGGAAGCAGTATTGACTTTCCTCTTCCAGCAATGTAGAGCAAGGCTTTACTGTTCTGTACTTAAATATAGTAATCTTAAACAGTGAAAGATATCAGTTATCTCTCACTGTTGAACTCTAGGGCTTATCGTTTAGCATATATTATGATATTTGATTTTCAGTATTAGAATTATCAAGATTAAATCGGGTATAATAAAAGGCTTGGCATTATTATACCCCCAAAAACGAAGTTTGGGGGGGTATATAGGAGTCACCCGGTGGTCGGTCGGTCGGTCGGGCGGTCGGTCGGTCGGTCGGTCGGTCCAGACGTCCGTTGCATTTTCCTTGTCCGGAGCATAACTTGAAAACTAATGGTTGGAATTCAATATAACTACATACAATGGTCAAGCACATTGAGAGGAAGTGCAGTGCACAAGAACCATAACTCTATCTTGACTAATTACAGAGTTATTGCCCTTTGTTACTTTTCCTTGTCCGGGGCATAACTTTAAAACTACTGGTTGGAATTCAAAACAACTTCATACAATTGTCAAACACAATAAGGGGAAGTGCAGTGCACAAGAACCATAACTCTATCTAAAGTAATTACAGAGTAATTGCCCTTTGTTGCTTTTCCATTGCTTTTTTTTTTGTCTGTTGCATTTTCCTTGTCCGGAGCATAACTTAAAGACTAATGGTTGGAATTCAATATAACTACATACAATGGTCAAGCACATTGAGAGGAAGTGCAGTGCGTAAGAAACATAACTCTATCTTGACTAATTACAGAGTTATTGCCCTTTGTTACTTTTCCTTGTCCGTGGCATAACTTGAAAACTACTGGTTGGAATTCAAAACAACTTCATACAATTGTCAAACACAATAAGGGGAAGTGCAGTGCACAAGAACCATAACTCTATCTAAAGTAATTACAGAGTTATTGCCCTTTGTTGCTTTTCCATTGCCTTCTTTTTTTTGTCCGGACCATAACTTGAAGACTAATGGTTGGAATTCAATATAACTACATACAATGGTCAAGCACATTGAGAGGAAGTGCAGTGCATAAGAACCATAACTCTATCTAAAGTAATTACAGAGTTATTGCCCTTTATTACTTTTCCATTGCTTTCTTTTGTCCGGACCATAACTTGAAGACTAATTGTTGCAATTCATTATAACTTCATACAATGGTCCAGCACATTGAGAGGAAGTGCAGTGCACAAGAACCATAACTCCATTTTGACAAAATACAGAGTTACTGCCCTTTGATACTTTTCCTTGTCCGGAGCATAACTTAAAACGTACTGGTTGGAATTCAAAACAACTTCATACAATGGTCAAGCACAATAAGAGGAAGTGCAGTGCACAAGAACTATAACTCTATCTTCAGTATTTATAGAGTTATTGCCCTTTGTTCTTTTTCTTTGTCTTTCTGGACTTATTACAGAGTAATTCAATTAAACTTCATCAATGGCCAACCACATTGAAAGGAAATGCAACATACATGAACCACAATTATCTTTAATTGCCCACAACCATAACTCTATGTTTCAATTCTATTACAAGGTATTCTGTTACTAGTAACATCCTCATTTCCGAAGCAGACTTGTGGGGGTATTAATCACATTTAGTGATAGTTCTAGTTTCTATTTAATGTAATACATCATAGAATAGTTGAAAAACTTTAGTACTGTGTTAATCCAGTAAAACAAAAGTTGAAAACTTGCGTCTGTGTAAATCCAGTATACAAAAGTTGAAACCTTTTTATATTGTAGAAGTAAAGGCTATTCAAGTTTTAATTGTAGATAACTTGCCATTGATAATTTTTCATTCAGCTTTGTCTTTGATATACCAACTTTCAAAACCTTACCTTGTAAAATATAATCTTGCCTATAGGGGTATTTTTTCCCATCAACAGATTGTTTTGTTTTTCTCCTTGCAGGGTGTTTTATAACCTCTAAAACCTCATGGCTCAATGACCCATCATTCAAATTTTCAAAATGTCAATCTTGAATTTTCAAAATTTTGAATTATGATTTTTTTCAAGACTCTATCTTGAATTTTCAGAACTTGAACTTTGACTTTCCAAAATCAAACTTGAATTTTCAAAATTTGAACTATTATTTTTCAAGAGTCAAACTTGAATTTTTCTAGGGTTAACTCTCTGAGAGCCAATTTTTATCATAACTAATATTTCAGACCAGGGCATAATATTATAATCTTTTCATCCATTTTAATTCCACTACTGTATTATATTGTCTTTGAATGTTGTGAAGTAATTTTTTTTACATATCTCAATGTGCAAAGTCATGTAAGTTTTTAGCTTACAATTTGGTATTTATTTCTTCTTTGCAAAATGTCAGCAAACAAATTATTTTACATATCATGCACCAAATAATTTATTCATATATATATATATATCATGATGATGGAAAAAAAAAGAAAAAAAAGAGAACATAACCATGACGAAGAACAAAACACCCTGCAAGGCAAGTTGATATACTGGTTAGACTCACAGGGTTTGGTAAATTCTTTAACAATTATGTTGAAGGAAATATTTTTATGTTATGGCTATTTGCAAATTGTTCACATGTATTAGAACTACAGTGAAATCTTGATATTGATATTTTTCAATAACATTTTCTTAGGGTTTATAAACAAATTGTAGAAGTTTGTATGCCCGATCTTGGCCCGGAAAAATCTTGCGTAAGTTTTTAAGAAAATAGAAATGATCTGTTGATGATGTGAAGAACCTTTAAGCCATTTAGTCAACAATCTAAGCCTCGTAAAAACCACTTATTTATTTTTCATTAGTCAACACTTATTTCATATTATTATAATTATTATTTCACCAATGTTTTTATATAAACAAACTCATTTTTTTTATAAAGGTCTGTTAATATATATATAATTTATACTGTACTTTTACTGGACACCAGTAAATGTTTTTTATAATTTTTTTTGATGGAAATGTAGTCAAAACATTGTATATAGATACAGCACCTATTATATATAACAGTGACGTGTGGACTGTAGAATAAACATAGAATTATAGAGAATAGAAAAATTATTTACATAGAAACGAGACATTCTAAAAGTTCTGATGAAAGAATTGAAATAAATAAATATTCAATTAAATATTCAATTTCATAATCCATTCAGTATATATGAATTAATGCAGGGAAGGGCACCCGAGGTATTCCTCCACCAGTAAAGCTGGAAAATTGCCATACGACCTATATAGTGTTGGTGCAAGGTAAAACCCAACCAACTAAATCCGAGAGAGATAAGTGAATTAGCGAGGGGGGGGGGGGGCTGGTGTGGCAAATTTGTCACTTTAACTCTTAAATGCTTTCAGAATTACAGTCAAACCAGTGTTAAAGACCACTCCTGAATAATGAAAACCCTGCTAAATAAGGTCACTTTTTGATAACCCTTCAGTGATATAATGGGATTAAGTAACCTCAAGAAAAAGACCAACTGTCTACAAAGACCATTATTTGCCTCTCTCTCTCTCTTGGATGACCTTTGTTCACAAGGTTGACTGTATGTCCAACATTCTTTAAAGCACTTCAGTACTGTCCCAAAATTGTATTAAACATCTACAAAGTTCTTTACAAGAAGGACTCTTAAGATCTTTTTTTTTTCAATCAGAACTTTTGAAATGTCTTTGACTTGAAGCACTTTTTTCATTCCAATCTTTGTAAATATATCATTGAATTCATATATTATGCCTTAATTAAAAGAGATGGATGGTGTTAATATAGTCACCTTAGTGCAGTTACAGGTTAACTCCTTATATAAATATAATAGGAGTTAACCCGTTACTGCACTGAGGTGACAAATTATGTAATTAGGAGCCAGGGTGTATTGCCTTAAGTGAATTGATAATTGTCTACAAGAATAGATGAGCAGTTATGCATTTTGTTTCAACAAGTCTAAGGGGTAAAAAAGACATGTTACCACAGCATTCTT